TGACATCCTGAAAAATTTGATAGTTAAATCAGTTTTCCTTCATTGGCTGTTGTTCCATCATTTGTACCATACTATGTTGCATGGCTGCAAATTGCTGTGCTTGCTGTTGTTGTCGTTGCTGTAGTTGATGGATTGTATTCAGCAGCTGTTGTTCAGTTACTCTGAAATGAACAATTTGTTGTTGTTGTGTTGCCTCTAGTTGCCTCATGAATGCCTCTTGCATATTTACTTTCTATTGTTTTTTCTCTGCTTTGCCTTGCGCTCTTCCTCATCTATTTGTTGCTTTCTTTCGATTGCTCTCTCTTAAGCAACCATTCCATCAATGCTGGATCTTCTTTTCTTTTTTGCCTTTTCACTTTCGTTTAGTCTTTCTTTTTGTTCCAAATACTTTCCATTGCTCTCTTCCTCATTTCTATGGCCTTTGCTTTATCTGCCTCAATGTACTGCCTTGCTGTGTTCTCATCTGTTTTTCTTTCTTCTGTTTCTTCCTTCATCTTAATCAATTCCTCCAACAACTGTTCCACTTCATTTGGTCCTTCAACCCCACCACCTGTAGATTTTCCTCTTTTCTCATTATGCTTTTATATCTTTTTGACAGGAGCTTGTACCTATCGCAAAGAGACTTCTGCGATACATCGAAATTTGGCACAGAATTCAAATTTTTGACCACCTTTTCCCACGATGCTCCATTTTCCCTGGATTTTGTTTTTTTCTGCATGACACCCTCAGCAGCCATTTCCTTTAACAAGATTTTATATTACCAAATTCCTAATTCCAAATCATTTGTTTCTTATTCAATTTTTATTTCGATCATTCTCAATAGTAAATGAAAAGTCCTTGATTACAGTAACGCATACCGATACTTGTTTTGCGATTTTCATCCATCTCGGCATTTATCTGCATTTATATTCATATTTATTTTGAAGGGAAAATATAAATAAAAACAAAATCATCGGCAAACGGCTTTGTAACTTTAATTGTTATGACTCCGGGGAAACCCAGACCCGCATTATTTAATTCTCTGTTTTTCATGCTCTATGATACATAAATTACACAAATTTTTCTTGAACAAGTATTTGTAGGTTTATTTAATATTTCAAGTTGAAAATATCAAGAATACTCGCCTTCGGTTTGTCAAAAAATGAGTTTGATTCAGCCGTCGTAGATATAACGTCAAATTGTATGTTTTCACGTCGTAGACGTCAACACGACTGCCGTCGTAGATTGAACAGGAAGCAAAACTTGCATGCGACACCATTTTTACGACGTCTTAGACGAAACGTCGTGTTTGCTAAATCACTCTATTTAATATACAAACTGACTGCATCACTAATTTTGGTACCAGAGAACATGTACTTTTGTTACTATTTCCTTAATTTGGTAGGACTCTAATGCTCATTCTTGACGTTTCTGTTCTGATTAATGCTGACCAATGTATGCTTCATTCGTGAACGGAGTGCTAACTTTTTCTTAATCTCATCAACAAAACATACTGAAAACTTGTGGTAAACGATTGTAGAAGTACTGTTAGAAAAGAAAACATTTTATCACACCAGTAAGCCAGATAATTTTGTTTCTCATTCACAATGTTCAGTATTTTTAAACAGCCGATTCTTTTCGAAATAAGAGTATTTCCATCAAGCGAAACTCACTCATCACGTAGGAATTGAATCTCCGTACTCAAGAAATGGATCAAGTAGGAATTATTCAAAATATTTTTCAGAAAACATCAGGTAAAAGTGAAGTTTATTGTTCAGTTAAAATTGAATGCTTTCGAGCATTTCAAGCCTTATACTACTACACTGCACTAATTGTAAAACAGTGAGAATGTAAGCAACAAAGATAGTGGTAGTAATGTTCTGCTTTATGCTACTAGTTTTATAAATGACATTTGGTATTTCTTTAAATGCAGTATGCACGATAAACAGTTTAACATAAAAGAGTTGCTTTCACTGTATGATGGAAAGATTTGCTCATGAGTCATAACTGTGTGTATAAGTTGAGTTTTGCATTGCCTTATCTGACAACAGTCAACACACACTTGTTATTCTTCCAGGTTAACCAGGATTCCCTTGGGATGCATTAGATGCAATGAAATTGACTGCAGTAAAAGCAAAAATCTGTTTGTCTGATAAAGATGACGTGGAAATAAATAAAATGATTAATTGAAATAAATTTGGGATTATAAATTGCAGAGTCCCTTAAACTTATTTTGTATAATTTAGCATTGATTTATTGAATTTATTGATTTTATTTTGTTAAAGAGATGAAAAATTTTATCATGGTAAAAGGTTGGGGATAAATATTTTCCATTCATGTCGAAGAATTGACATACTATTTGTGGTTTAAAAAATATTTCCATGTTGAACAGCAATTGCCTCTCTTTCAATGATCTCACCTCCCTCCCAATTTCTCTTCAAAGTGCTGATGCTCTTTCAGTTGCTAATATTATATCAATTCTTTGTTGTAAATAAAAAATATATATCCTTAACCTTCCACAAATAATATTATTCCAACTTTTCAAGATCATAGAACAATTTTAGACGTAAACTTGGTGCAAGTCTTTGTTAACGTATGCAAACGAGTGGCCCAGTAAAAGTGTCTTTGTTGATTTTTTGTCTCTTCAAACCAACTATTTTGTTCAAATTTGATTCTTACCACATTATACAAAGCCAAAATGCTACATGTAAAGCGCAACATTTATAAAACTTGTTAAATAAATATCTTGATTGACATGCAGTTTTGCTTTCATGCAGCAAGAAGCAATGATATATGTCAGAGAAACCAGTACACTTCAATTAAAACAGTCGAAGTTTTCAATTACAATAATGTAGTTCTGTTCTACAATTCAGCAGTTGATCCAAGGTTGTGCAATATAGTTTAAAATTTTTTAGTAACATCTTGGCTAAAACTATTATGTATTTATAACCAGAAATAGCGTTATATCATAATATTTTGAGTTCTGCTCTTACACCTAAACAAGTTCAAATTGCTGTCTTATCATGTATTCAATACAACTGCCCGAGTTAATATATGACATCTGCCAGTATCTAAGCATAGTTTACTCAAAATTCAATGACAACAAATTTAGCCAAGATTCAACGAGCAGTTGATCAGCCCTAGGACACTTTCTCATGCCTTCACGTCGATTTAATCAATAAAGATAGTAGTAATAAGCTTGAACGCAATATGCCGTGTTATTTTTGATTAAAATTGTCGTGTAACAAGAGAAAGGTTTCTGTAATGTGAATTTTCATACTTACTAATGTATGTGCATTCCATAAAACACTAAAGCATACCTTTCAATCAAAAACGTTACGGATTTATTTCATTATCGGGATGTATTTTGTACTGAATCGAAATCAGGAGGGAGTGGATGATAAAATTAATTCTTCAAGTGGAAGTTTTACAAAATTTCCTTTTGGCATCCACGTTTTTGACAACAGTTCTCAGACCCCTTTGTATATCCAGATAGTTTAATAGAAATTAATGTTCGCACGTGGCAAGTATTTCTTGGCCACCACATTACATGTACGCACATAATTTAAACGAAAATCATTTGTCACGCTCAAACAGTTACTACATGAAACATTGGCTCTAGGACTATAAGGTCACTATCACAGAATAGGAAATGTTTCAAGTTTCCCATGCACAGCGTTTCACCATATTTTATAACTAATGTCTCAGTTGATTCTCACGCATCGACAATAGCCTTTATAAAATTACTTGTTGACAATTACAGCACTAACATTATGTAAGGAAATCCTCAATAACAAATATCAGCTTTATGCTTAAAAGTTAAAACAATCAATTTCATAGAAAGTAACAAATGCAAAACGGCTTTATTCCTTTATAGTAAACTTCTGTGTGTCGACTTTGTTCGTCCGATTTCCAGTGATTTGACACAGTGTAATACCACGTATTTTTAAAGAGTCGGAAAAGCGGATTGTTTTTATTTTAGACGCTTAGAGCGTCTGATTAGATAAGCGGGTGGATTATAATGATTGGATGGTGTGGAATGCGTTGTCATGGGTTTTGTTGTAAACTACAACAACACACTCTAATAATATTAACAGCAATCATTTACACAATACACCAAAACCAATGACACCGCAATTCACACCATCGAAGTAGACGCTCTAAGCGTCTACAAGTAAAAACAATTGTATATAACTTCCTATATCTTTCTGATGAAGGGTCGAAGCACCGAGTCGAAAGCTCAACAAAATAATTTTATAACAATCCGGAGTAACTTCCATTTTTATACATTAAATATGCCTGGATTACCAATCTTGAAAATTATATATATATATATGTAAATTGTTAGTTTAGAATGAAACAAATGAATGTCTTAGTTAATGTGAGTTGAAGTTGGTGTTAAATTCTCTATTAATAATCGCTGAATCACCGATAATAAATCTCTAAAAAATCATTAAACATAAAATGAGCGTTGTTGCTCGACACCCCCCAGAAAGTTTACACTATGACTGACTGACTGACTGACTGTGAATTTTCCCCACTCACAACAATACTATGGAAACTGTGCATTAAAAACTAAACAATTTGAAATGCTAAGTAATTATGAGTTTAGCCAAGCATCTACAAGCTGTGAGTTACAACACAAAATAGCCGAAATTTACGCATCGGCGCGGAAGACGTACTCTTTATCAACTTTCTTAAATTTATTCATTTTGTAAACCAAGACCCAAACTTTCATCCCATGAAATCAAAATTAAATTTCGACACCTTACTCATGCTTGCCCAAGCCTTTCAAAATGCAATCCTGCAAATTACCTTCCCGTTTTTAAATATTTGATTTTCAGTTTATATTTTTAAATTTTACGTTGAACAGAGGATGCCAGAATACCGATACTAGCATAAAATCTGACTTGTTTTGCTAAATTTATAGTCTAACATGCAAGCACTTCAAAACTGTCTGCTGTTTTGATACAAACCATAGAGTACAGAGCAATGAGCAAATACTAATGATGCAAACTTACAGCATCTGGCCAACCAACTTAAGTACGTGTAATCATTCTTGAGTTTCTCTGACTGAATTAGCAAAAAACCCTGAGAGAAAAGAAACAGAAGTGAGCAACTCGTTATTTGATGACACAACAAATTGTTCATATATAACCTCCTCAGCTTCTTTGAAATTACTTGTTGCCGCTTTTGCTTGAGCGTAGTTAAAGTTGAACGCATCATCGTTGTAAAAATAACTCTATAAAAAGCAATCTTGCAGAATGAAAGAAAGAAAAAGGCAAATTATGCACTTGCATGCAGGCAATGCAAGTAGAGTAAACGAAGAGGTGACTGCCTTTGTATTGACAAAATCAGGGTTGTAGGCAAATTTACCGATAGACAAAATAAATGTAAATAGGTATATTGCATACAATATTTCTCTTTCGAGCTAATTGCGCTCTGGAATCACTGTTAAGTCATAAGACTAAGTAATCGTCTTAACCTTTTGTTGTCTAGATTAAATTGCAAAATTGCTTTGCACAATTTCAACTAGCACAATCTGTTTTCCTTTCAACATGTAGTTCATAATGATATTTTTAATAAAATTTTTTAGTATAGAACTGATAAAAAATAGGATTTATAGAATATTATGTTATTATTATTTCATGTATACTTAGTTATCTGAGGTAATTTTCATATATATTGACGTCATTCGTGGAAAGCAGCTGCGGCTGACGTTGCAAGCGTGTTAAAATAAAGTCCCATTGAATCCTTCTATCTAATAACTCATATATCAAAAATTGAATTGTTTATGCTACATATAGTCATATACGTAGCATAAACAATTCAATTTATACAAAACAATGACATGAATGAAAGAAGGTCGGTCGTTCGGAAGGCGTCTATTAAAACTTAGTGCCCACCCCACGTACAGGATACCAACAAAAACAACTAATTCTACAGCTACATAAAGCAGTTTAATTGCTAACATTTTATTTCATCGGAAATAAGAACATGATCATCATGAAGGTACACTCTAAAATTGTCCGGGTAAAAAATTCCGGGTCAATTGAAAATGACCCAAGTTGGGTCAATTTTCCTTGTTTTGACCCGGATAATTAAGTACTTTTATGCTCATTTGTGATCACATTCAAAAATAACAATGGATGACAAAAATTCCGGATCAAGTGAAAAAAATAGCAGCGCACGAATGGAGCAGTAAACAAATCATAAATTTTAGGCCCTGTCTACACGTATTCGGATAAATTTGAAAACGCAAAAATATTTTTAGGGATGTACATTCCGTCCACACGTATCCCGATAAAACGCCCACACAAATCGTAAATTTTTGAGTGGAAATTTTTTGAAAACGGAAAAAATTATTCTCGTGTGGACGGGTGAAACCGTAAAAATATAAAAACGATCATGTATTAACTATGAGCCAATTTACTGCGCGCATTTTGTTAAACATGGCGGAAACACGAAAGGTTGTTGCGATACTGATATCCCTTATTTCAAGCATTATATCATGTTGAATTCTCTTACAGATTATATTCAAAACCATATGAATATTATTCGCCAGCTTTCGTTACTTGCTACGGGAAGGGGAGTTGTGAAGCGGTTAAGCAAGAAGCGCGAAAGGAGGAAAGGAAAATTTTGGTTCGACCTGGACGAACAAATGCTTGGTAGAACGGTTTCATTACTGACGAAGGTTGTATGCAAAAGACTGCCAATGCGTTTGGAATTTCTCGGCAGACCGTGTCAAAAATTGTGAGAAAGGTATGCAAAGCAATGACAACACACCTCGGACGAAAGTATGTAACATTGCCATTTACTGAGGTGAATGTGCAAGAAGAAGTGAACAATTTTCATAGAGCACATGGTTTTCCTTATTGCTTGGGTGCAATTGATGGAACGCACATTCCAATTAAGTAGCCACGACAAAATCCTACTGACCACATTAACCGAAAAGGTACTAACAGCTTGAATGTGCAAGCTGTTTGTGACCATACACATTGTTTTATGGATGTGGTGGTGAAATGGCCTGGAAGTGTGCATGATTCAAGAATTTTTTCAAATTCCAGCTTAAACCACTTTTAAAAGAACGGTAAGATACCACCATGTCATCGCAACATTTTGCTGATGAAGATCCAGTTCCTATTTTCACATTATAAGGCCCCGCATATCCATTAACGCCATACCTAATGAACGAATATTCAAATGGTGGTTCTAATCAGCAGGAACAGTATTACGGTATGACCTTGTGCCCATCCAGGATGGTCATTAAATGTGCTTTTGGTCGACTCAAAGCTCGTTTTGCTGCCTAAAAGCCTTAAAGCAACCCCCTTCCCATTGTCTATTGCCTATTTCTTAAATATCCGTAAGAGAATTTTTCTTGAAAAGAATTTAGTTTTTAACACATTTTTGCGCACGTTGTACACGCTAAACGGTGTCACAACGATGTCATGACAAATAATCTACAACTCGACAAAACTATTTATTTTCCTAAAAATTACTCAAAGAATATTCATTTTGCATACCGCACACTTCATGTAATAATCATAATGATGATTTGTGATTTCCCGCCTCTTTGGTTGTTTTCAGGGACGGATCTAGGGTATGTCAAATCGCTCACGCGACTGATGTTTATAGTTAAAAAATTATTTATCAAATTTAATGATTACAATATTTTTTGATCATTAAATTTCGTTCTGTAATCGTTTGGATTTCATCGTCAAAATTCTGTTTTATGTAAGAAAACCTATACAAATACCACCTTAGTAAACAGATCAGTAGATAAAAACATATCTAGAATTATATTAACTGGCTGATCGATAAGCGGGGTGGCTCGAATGGTTCGACCGATAACGGAGTTCAAGAATGCTTATTTAAGCCATTCCATTGGTCAATAACCAGATCAGTAAACGATCTTGAATAATCTCAAACGATAAGCGGTGTGGACGGACCGATAAGGGAGTCCAATTGCTATAGTGCAATTGGTTCGTTTAAATTTTTGTCTTACTGTGATTGGTTTGACCGATTTCGACTGATAGCTAAATGACCTAACATAGGACTTTTAGCTATGATTTCTTTGGTGCTTGGGGATTCTTGGCCGTAATATGGCAGCGAAATCCTACATTCTTTCAAATGTATTTTATTAGACAAAAAATCTGTAGCCATAAGGTGCCATGCTATTTTTTACCATATTATAAACAAATGTTTGAGGCTTTTCAGTTTATGATCATTGATCATTCAATCATTGGACAGTTATAGTACATATTGTTTAAGATTAGAGAAAACTAACATTGCTTACAAGAGAAGCTTTTTACTATAACCTGTGATTTTCAGTCTTTTCTGATCCATGAAGCTTTTTATTTTGACAATTTGACTGTAAAGGTATTTAACCTGAGTATTTCACATACATGAAATGTTGTCGCATGTCACAAAGTGTCCCCTTTCTAACTGAACACCTCAAGTAGAGATGTCAAGGTGTGTTGATCTACGGCTCATACTAGATTGTTTGCCATAAATTCCAAGGGGCTATTGATGTATGAAAAGCATTTTCTATAAAGTAAAAATGTGTTCCTATATATGCAGATAAACCTTGAAATTTGGCAAAACAGCCAAAGTTTTTTTCATGATCATCAGGTAATTTTTCTGATGATCATTGTAATTTCTAAACTAAATTATTTCAGATTTACATTTAAACGAGCTTTGATCATATGAAAAGATATTTATCATAACCAGTAAGCATGACACATGAACCAATTTTAACATTCATGTAATTATATGATTAAAGGCATGTTGGTTACATTCTGTTTGCATTGGCAAATACAATGCTACTGGTGATTGCTATATAGCACACCTTGCATATACTTTATAGAAGATAATAGTCTAGTGAAATGCCTAATAAATATTAATGGCATTAAGCTGTCCTTAATTGTTAATTTTCTCTCTGATAATTTTTGCTTAATCTTTGGCAGAAAAAAATTTTGAGTTTTTTCTCAAAAGGGGAATTTGCCGGCACTGTATGTGGAGATGTGTAAAGGGTTACAATAAACTTGCATGGTTTGAAGTTTGTAGAAATTTGATACTACAAGGGACAGTTCATAGATGTAGAAAACCTCAAACTTAACTCAATACATAGATGTTTCAATGGGGTCTCTAGGGGGGTCTATGCCTGACAACTTGGTAGAAATTTTTAAAGACAATATCTTTTTTGGAATAGCATTTTTGTAAAATAAATTTTATGTTCCTAGACATGCTAATGAGCCACATATTTGGCATGATAATGAGCATAAATATTTGGAAAAACACTCAAGTATTGTTCACTTCAATTTTTTTTTGAAAAAAACGTAAGCAAAATTTGTTGTTTTTACGCAAAAACGACGCCCACAAAATACATTTTGTATTGCTCTAAAACGCTGAAAAGATCCGCCCCTGGTTGTTTTTGTTTGTGAAGTGTTTTTACAGCAGCGAAGCAAGGTTTAAATACACAGATGTTTAAAACAAAAATCAATGAAAGGAAATGGTAAGCACTTATTTTCGAACAATTTGTATACTCGACGCTCTGCAAAAAAAAACACAACGTTCGCTGTACGTTTAACAAAAAAATTAGGAGGTTTATAGAGTGTATATTTAACTTAACATAAATTAGCCTAATAGTTTGTGCCGCAATTGTCGAGCAATCTTTGTTTCTGAAAAGTTAACAAAGTTTTTAGTTATTTAATAAAACGAGAATGCTAAATGTGCAATGTTACTTCTAGAAGAATTCATCTTTCCTGTAAATAGCTATTAGATAAGATAATTCTTCGGGTAGATATATTCAAATAAAATAAATTACACATAACACAATAGTTACCTATTAAAGTATGGTAAGAAAACTAGATGAAACTTCGCAAAATGTATTTCTTGGAATACAAGTCACTTATATAGTTTTGAGAAGCTTCACCACAAACAAATCTTGCGATTAACATAGTGCAAAAAAACTAGCACAATGAAATTTAAAAGAGTTAAACACACACATCAAAAGTAACTACCCCTTCTGAGTATGACAAAAATTGGCTTGATTGGTAAGCATTTGGATTAACTTATGAATTTTCATTTCAAAGCAAATTACATTTACATACCTTAACCGAGTTCAAATATATTAGGACATCTTCGAATTGCTTCAGTAAAAAGAAACAAGACGCCATGCATTGTCGACCAGGAATGGTGTCTGAAACAATTAAAGACAATTAAATACCTAATTGCTACAATTGATTCTCTGAAACAGGCTTAATCTGCATTTATAAAATAGCTTTTAAAACACGGGAGCTGAATGATTTAATGCTAAAAACTCGTCTTCTAGAGCATGAAACATGAGTAAATTTTCTCGCAGGATGCGTGGTTTGCTCGAGGAAATTTCAACAAAAAGATATAAACAAAAAGTCATTACTAGAATATCTAAAATTCAGTATGTGCTGTCTATGTGAGTGCAAAGTGCGTGAGAGTCACTTGCTTGACAAATTAGCCAATGGTTTAAAATTTTGCAAAAAACACACGAATAGTATTGTTGTTGACCCGAGACTGAAAACTAATGAGAATAGATTACAATATCAGTTCCACGTGCACACAACTTCATTTCCTATGCGATTGTTGTGAAAATAATTATTCAATGAAATAATAATGTGTGGATATAACAAGTGCTCAACCTATCTCATGTGTTTCACAATTTTTTTGCAAACTCATGATATGTTTGTCGATACTTACCATCACCCAAAAGCCGAAAGTCAAGTATCATAAACAATGCATGAAATAAGTCAATCAACACTAATAACGCCCGTTTATTTGAAGAGCGCACTGCATTTTGGGTCCAAGAGCACTGCGTTTTATGTCAATATTTTATCCAAAATGTATTTCGTAAGCTAAAATCTCAAATTTTGCTGTAAGCTTTGTTTGCTGTCTTTCTCGCTAGTTTAATGCTTGCTCGCTGAGTCAACAAAAATCAATAAAATAATCTTTTTAACAAAGTTTTTTAAAGACTATAGAAAAACTATAGAAAGCAAATAGAAAACAATTTACTCGTTCACATAAAGTTGAAGTAACGTGCACTTGTGACGTTTTTGTAAATACTCAAAATGGCTGGGAAAAAAATCGGAGTTGGATCTCGTTTCTCGCAAACCATCTCACATGTTTTCGTAACACTGAAAAAACACGGAGATTGCATTCAATGTCTTAAATATGAAAGGTTTGTACAAGTTTTTCTTCAGTGGATAGCAAACAGCCAAACATTTAAAATGAGAATAAGATGCTCTTACTGGCTGTAAACACTAAACAGGGACACCACTATAAAGCCATGCTATAATTAGTTTTTTTAAATATTAACATAACAACAAATTTATAGTTATGTTAGATTGGATGGAGAGCTTTGTTATTGTTTGTTACTTTGGATGCATTCTAATAAAAATGTTTGATTAATTTTCCAGATTTTAGCATGAGAACTAAATCAGGATAAACGGGTTTTAGGATGGTTTAATCCCTTACAACAGAATTGGATGGATGTGAAAATTAGCACTAGAACTCCTTTTTCCTTATAGCAAAGGAGTGAAGACACGTTTCTTCCACCCTAAATCAATTTGTTCATTTAGGAGTCAAAGGGGTTAAAAAGACTTGGGGTTGATGAGAAAATTGAGCATTTTATTGTCTACGAAATGTCCCATATTGGCCCCATTTCTAACCAAACTCCTTACTTTTAATGGCGAAGGTGTGAAGGCTGGTTTCTGGCACCTTTACCCTTTTTTTTCGGTTTTTTATTCAGAGGGCTCTCAACATCGGAAAACACAAATTTTATCAGATGTCTTTATTATTTATCAACACAAGGGAACGTGTTTTCTTGAAAAAAATAAATATTTGTCTATTTCTTAAATTACCACATTCGCTCGCTGATCCACCAACAAGTTGAAAATATTGTTGAGCTATCTTTAAATGCTCTCTCTGTAAAGAAATGTTTTAGAAGATAAGATAGAGCTAAAGCTATCCTTTTAACATAAATATCTGTTCACAAGACAGGAAACTAAATTCGGATAACTTCATTAGTTAATGAACTGCAGTGTTTTATTTAAAAACGATGTTGCTGCCATCTTAAAAATGGGGATGGGGTATAAAATGAACGATGATTGTGAACATCATACACTAAACATTCTATACAAAACACAAATGGGTTCACGACTGAACCATGATGGTAGTTTTCTTTTTTCTGCAAGTATAATACATGTTTACAATTATCAGCTTATTTCAAAACAAATGTACTGTTAAACAAAATGACTAAAATAATTTGGGAAATTAACAGTGTTTCATACTTAAAGTATTTCAACTATAGTTAATGTTTCAAAAAATTTTCTTTACTACATTTTCTTTACAAAAGTAACCATTATATTAAACAAGTTTTTGACGTATGTTCACTTACAGAGCCTTGATCTTGTCCCAACGCAGCGTTGACCACACCTTTCAAAATGTATTCCTGAGAATCAGTAAAAAATAAATATCAGTTGCTTCGATATGAATAGATTACTGCATGGTTGGTGAGTGCGTACGATTTTAATGCACGAGTTGAGGATGAAAAATTTTCTTTATAATATAAATTTCAATTCGAGTATAATAAGAGATAGCACAATTTCAAACTCTTCAAAACAATCACCTAATTTGCATAAAAAATAAATAACACAAATTTTATGTTCCACTCAAAAATCTTTGTTCTTTAATGAAAGTCAAACGCTACAAAGTTGAAAACTTAATAAAGATTAAACGATTCTTTTCAAACGTATGTTCATACAAAAATAATAATCAAATCATACGAGCAGCTAATAGGTAACATATTAAATAAACGTCAATCAAAGTTGTTTAATTTCACATCCACATAATTAATCTGAATCGGAGATTATTCTTATTCTCTTGTATTTTTTTGCAACACATTTTTTTTCACTGCCACTGGTGACTGATTTAAGCTGTCGAAATGCTTATTTGACCTCCATGTATTACAGCGACACTGAACAAAGCCATTGCTTGCTGTTGTTGGCAGCCGGCGCTGATCTCCCGGTTTGACTCGCGCCCATTTATGCTCGAAGTGGTTTTGACTGTTTGCATAACGACAAATTCGCTAGGGCTCGAGATATTTTCATTTGCTGGTTTTCTGAAATTGTTGAGTAACTCGCAACACTTTGCACGTTTTTATGACCAGATAGTTGAACTATGTCTGTTGGAGGGATATCGGTGTTGGTAAGAGTTTGCATCATCGTTATTCGTCCGCTATGATAGCTAATGTTTCTTGAGCCAATGCCAGCCTTCTCAGCCATTGTTTTCCTCAGCGAGATGAGTTTGTTAATACCAATAGCAGACTTTTTAAACCAATACTTACCAGATGAGCCTTTTTTGCAGTGATTTACGGCAAAGTTAAAGGGTACGTTGTCTGAGTTCATTTCACGCGGACGTTTTTCTGCGTAAAACTTGTAAACAAAGACGGATCGTTTTTCGATAGACTTGTGGAGACTGCATACATTTTTGGTGTTACTTTTCTAACATCTGATGGGTTGCTTCCTGTACGAGTTTTCGTTTGTAATTCAAAATACTCGAGATATTCCACGCCATTAGCATTCTTGCGTAGTTTTATGTCACCCCAACACATGTCTCTATGTTCCTTGCGACCACGAAGGCCAAAGTGAATAGTGTTGTTAAACCACAACGTGTTTATTAAAGCTTCGCTACTGGAAAATCCTAAAAGTTCTTTCTCATAAAACAGTTGACTTCATCTTCGATGAGAGCAACTGAAGCGTTTGGTTTGTTTCCTTTTCCTTTTTTCTTTGGGTCTTTTTGTTTTGATAGCAGAGCTTTTCGGGCACGCTCAAATTCCTTGTCTGTCATGATACTAAATCCGTTCTTTTTCTTTAAGTACCTATCGAAGCTCGCAAACATACATCGTAAGGAAGTTGGTTTGTAATCACTGTTGTCCTCTTTCTTTCTCACAGAGATCGCTTAAGTATTCGCTCGATTTTTTGGCACTCATTTTTTGAAGATAAATATTCTTCAAAAAGTCGTATGTCCTGCAACGTTTTTCTTCTTGTGTTAATATTTTCCTGGCATTCAATAAGCTCGCTAACAGGCAATGTATCCGCAAATCTCGAAGCCATTGATACAGAAACAATCGAAACTGGTTGTTTTTGCTTTGATTTTAATGCTGTCCACAATTGGCGGTAAAACTTGATATGCATTTTGCCTCTAGTGGTAAAAATGATATATCCAATCAGAATGCAGGTACGAAGTTTTTCACTAGTGAACAAAATGATATGTCCGATCAGGTACTCGGAAATTTTAGGCATATGATTTTTATTTCATCGTTTTGTTGCGGATAGATTTCAATACTCGTATGATAAAAAAACTTACACATATTCATTTAGCATGCTGTGCTTCACTAATTTCTGTTGTAATCAATTTTTATTTATAGTTATCTAATAGCTAATTTTTTGCTTTTCATAACTTCTCTTAATTTAGCTTCGTAAAAAAAGACATACACGCAACATGTTTTGGATAGTGTATAAAATGAACGATGTTATTGCTTTTCACAGTTTGCACAGTTGCTATTTTTCATTTCAAAATACGTCTTAAATACTAAGCTTAATATTTGACTGAATAAAGATCAAGTCTCCTCACCTTTCATACCACACTACTTTACAACGATTATCATACATCAGGGTAGGTCTAAATTAACTTGTTTCCAACTTGATGAACCTGCAGTGTTCGAATATTCACCTTTGACAATTTAATAATCTGCCGTATTTTAAGTTGGTTTGAGGTAAATGACTTTTTGTGGGTAGCCTATGAGCATACTGATTTATAACCACAATGTAAACGTAAAAATTCAGTGCGTGGGTTTCACGTCCGCAAAATCCATTGAACTAAACATAACTGGAAGGCTACCTTCTGATGTATCAGTAACACACGAGCTGAAGAAACCTGGACGATCTACATCTACAAACATGTAACGATACTCCCGGGTTCAAACCATTTACTTTATGACGAGCATTATGAAAACCAATCGGATCCGGACGATTGTGATGATTCAGTAAGAACAAGATTGCATATTTAAGGAAGGAGGCTGAAAAGACACGTAAACACGAAATGGAGCTAATTCAGATTATGACAAGTGTGCAGCCCCAAATGCCAACCCATCCCTCATTTCCCTTCCAAACGCTAGCAAACCCTCATATGCCTCAACACCCCCCAAATGGCAACTCAACCTCCAATACATGTCAATACACAGATCCCAGTTCACCCTCTTATGCCAGTTGACCTTCAGACATCATCTGCATTTTTCAGTAGTTGACAATACACATAATATCATTGTCAATAGTTATGTTTAGTTGTTTTAATGAGCATTAAGATTTATATTTTTGGACCTCAGTGGTTAGTGGTCATAACGAAGTCTTCATCATGGCTTGTACATTTATATAGTCAAACTAACATATTTACATTATTTTTGTGTTATATTTTTTGTTTGGAATGCACCCAAATAAAAACATTTAAATACCATGTATGTGTAACAAAGTGACTGGATGGCATATCTTACTACATCAAAATCATGTCATGTATATCAATTTTGAGAAAACCAACTACTTTTCACTGAATTGCAACAGAAGTGATGATCAAATATGGCATTAATTTAATACCCTGAATTGTTTAATTTATTTGTATCTGAAATGATCTACCCAACGTGTTGAATCTACCAGTGCCTTTATAGTTCCAGTTGAATACAAGATTGTCAATAAAGAAGCAGTTTAGCAATATTTCATCAAAAGTTCCATAAACAATTTATCAGTTCAACAATTCATAAACAATATTCAACCAACAATTCCATTGCAGTATGATTGCATTGGTTTATCTATGAATTGAGCAAAATAAGTCAATTGTGTAATTTTTTAGAAGTTTTTACCATTAATAGCAGTACTTAATGCTATATCAAGTAGATGTGCATCTGTCTGATAGTGTTAGTTTCATTCATTTTACTTCTCTCCTTCCAAATGTGTTTAAAAACAGCATTTCTAACAGCCTTTGCTTTGACAGAGGAATCATTGTTCTTGCTGCACTCTGTAATGTGAAGTAATTCTATGATATGTTTCCGCCCCCGTATTAGTGGACGGGTCAAGGGAAGGATCCAAACATCTTAAAATGAAATCTTCTTTTTCAATGCATATATTGTGCAATATTATAAAAGCTAATGCTGCCATTTTAACCTCGGAGGGAGGGACTACTTTCATTTTTTCTTAATGGCACTCTCCATTTTCCTTTCAGCTGCCGAAAAGCTTCCTCTGTTACCATCCTTGCCTGCTGAAACTGTAGTAGAAATACCTTTGACTGGTAGTTACCAAAGCTTGGAGGCTTCAGCAACTAAGGTCTCCGTGGGAAAGCAGAATCTCCTACAACTGATGGAGTGACTTTAGCATTGCAAACATTTGCACTGATATCTAAACTAGCATTATCATCGAGTTCATTCCAAATGTTTGTTGACTGCAATATCACTGCATGATGTGAGTTGCCCGGGTACCCACAACTAGCCCATGCAAATCTATTCTTAGCATCACTATGGCCATCAATACATTAGAAAAAGAATGTTTAGAGTTATAATATTCTTTCGAGCTTCAGTTCACCCAGCTGAACACTTTATCATATGGGAACCATCCACTGCACCCCAGCAAAAAGGAAACTGCCTCATATCATGCATTCCTGTGGTGAAGGATTCATTATTTTTGAGGCATGTAAGCCATAACGTGTTCTTGCCATAGATTTTCAACAAGTATATGACACACCTCGGTAACAATAGTCTGAACAGTAGATGTTCCCACACCAACCATTTCAGCAATGGTATAATAGTAGTCGCCTCTTGCAAGACGATAAAGGCAAATACCTAGTCTGCATTCAGGAGAAAATAGATCTTCGTTAATCATTTTTCGTTCCAAGTATGGGGAATTTTCGTCAGAATAAAATAGAAAGAAGTCTCGATATTCTAAATGCTTTTTTGAAGCGTTCATCAGAGTAAAAGTTCCACACAAGTTCCCATCACTCGATATTCCTAAGTCATCGTCGGCATGATTGCTGAAATGACCGTCGATTTCTTTTCTTCCGAATAGACCAACTAGAAGTAACGTACGTATGCTTATAGATACAGATTAAGAAAGTAAAGCTTGATTCCTTCGCTTTCGAGCTTGATTGGCACGAAATAATAGTGCTAATTTTTGATTGTCCATCCTGACTACAACATTTGTTTTTTTAAGAAATGAAAATATGAAAATTATTTTGAATACCCGCGCGAACGCGCGCTCGACCCAATCTCTTTGTCGTTAAAATGATATTCTATTAAGTTTGCCCTTTGAATCACTGCCACTTTTGTATCGCTCCTGAGTCGCACCGAATATTACTACGTTTGGCGCATGAGAAGTTCACCGTTTGCTAAAGGTCGCTACTAACACAGCTATAGACAAATCAGCGCACGCGTTTTAGTGTTATTTCGTAATACTCGTTGATAATATTCTATGAAATATTGCAGAATGTACTATGCAGTTGAAATGAGTTGAAATACTAATAACTTTCATTAACGTTGCATACTGTTCGACTGTCTAAGCTAAAGTCTATAACGACAACATATTAGCTGATACAATTCACACACACGCAAACTCATAATTTATATATTTGACATATATTGAAATATTAAAAAAGGTTACTTACTGGAGGTACCGAAGGTTCCAAATCTTTTATGAGGTTGTAAGCTTCCAAAATATCATCTGAAATAATAAATTATAACCCTCACATCGAGGACAAAAAATGATGAGGCCTGTGACCCGATAACGTCGATTCAACCAAGTTCACCTTTTTCACGCACAAAAATATTCTTAAGTAAAACATAGCTTATAAATATCTCAATTGACCTCAAAAAAGAATGGCAAAAAAACAAAGATGTACATTTTGAAAGAAGAATGATGTAACACAAACGCAAATATTAAATTTCATAAAAAAACAGCGTGATTTAAGAAACTGATGTAACTGGTAGCACTTTCGTTCCAATAGGTTTTGGAAATTGACATACTACTGTTTATAGCGAACTAGGAAAATGTTTCAATAACGACATGATGACGGCATACCTTGCTTTAGATAGTAAATGACCTAAAATAAAAAGAAAGAGACATATAGTTGCGCTATTATGTATACTAGTATTTTCCAACTTTCAGAAAAAAAGTAAATAAACAAAACACAGTTTCAAAATTTGGAGCAACGATAAAGATGGCGTAGGAGTCGACGTAACTTATTTTGTAAACTGCATCTTGTCGCTCATGTGGTTATTGTACACGTCCATAACGTTCTTCATCTCTTCTTGTGATGTGGTAATTGGTTTATGTTCGACAGGTATGTTAATTGTATGATGTTATAAGATAGCTACATGAAATTGTCGCAGACGAACATGTGATGCAGTGTATTTGTTGTTTTTGGCTTGTTTGTTTCGTATTCATTGTAAGTGCTGTGTTTGCAGAAGTCAGATTTATAGTTCTTGTCATCAAAAACGTGTTTCAACCATGTAAGTGTAGAATTTTTTCCCTAGTTGGTTTTCATTTTGTTTGGTAACAGTAGCAAGTCTGCTACAGCGCCAGATAAATAGTTTTTTTTGTGGTGCACAGCGCAATTAACATAATAAAAATATAACAAACGTGGCTTTGTGTAATGGTCAGGTAGTCGGCTGTGTAGACTAGTTTTCGGTAAACAATGGTAGTCAGCGCCGTAACCAAAAAGTTCCGAGGGCCGAAGGGGTGTATACTTGAGAAAAACGGACTCGTACTCGCGATTTTATTGGCATGTTACTGCCGTTAACGTTTTGTCTGCTACCAATATCCTAAGCCTGGCTTAACTTGGTACAGGCACCTTATTCCTTTTTCAATTTCACCAGCAATTTCAATCATTGCATAAACAAAAAGTAATAATACTTTTCAAATTGTATTTTTAAAAAATGGACCTCATGAATATATGGGGGTGCAAGTGCACCCACCCTGCGTACGTAATGAGTTGTCATGTTTTACGAAACAGTGAAGAAAAGGAAGAGTTCTGTTTTCATCGACGTCATTTGGTAAGTTATACGTGACTAATGTGTTTGGTTATGTTAGTGCGAAAGTCATCAATTTCCTTTAGGTGTAGTTACAGTATGTGATTGTATTGTCTATGTAGCTGAATCAAAAAGGTAGTACGTGTTTGTACGCGACGAGAGCCCATTGCTTCATAGCTTGCATGACAATTACAGCAATTACATTTGCGACAAGTAAGAAATACTGTTCCATGTGAAGGTTCTTATTTTTATACCGCCATTGGAAGTTGTATCACGTGAGGCAAAGCTGCAGTTGTTCTGTGACCTCGTACATAAGAAATGGGAGAACATGCTGTTTATAATAACACTTAACACTTCATTTGAAATTTCTAAAGCATTGTTCCATTAATGCTCCAGAGCAAGAAACAAAGATAATCACAGTAAGCCACCATAATTGTCAGGGAATTTACAATTTGAGAAGAGACATCATAACTATATTGGCCAAAAGAATAGCAAAACACGTTACAAAAAACTTCATAGCCGGACACTTGTATCAAAAGAAACACTTCAATAGCTTCTCACTTCAGAATATGTTTGGGAAAAGCTCGCCATGGAATTATTATATGATTTGCTGCTCATGCTTCCCCTGCAAGCATATAGAGAGATTGAATGACAAATCAAATAAAGTCTTACACTTCTCCTTCATTCCAACAATCTCTTCACCACACCTTCGCCTTATGACTCGTTCTTGGAGGATATCGTTCTCTTTCAATTGTTAACTTGAATTAATCAGTTGTTTTAGTGGTTGTTTAAATTATATTACTTTGTTTTAATGTAGAAACAATGATTCATCTACAATCCTTCCACCATATGAAATTTTCTCACATCGAATCATCGTTCACATAGCTCACAAATCACAATGAACTTCTGAGCAAGATTAATTGCCGAAACTCGTTATTTTTGAAAAACTTCTTAATACATACAACACACAAAAGACGACAGAGTATTATCTTGCCTGGGCTAAATACTATCTGAATTTGAACTTCAAGTTCCTATTCACCCCTCTATGGTGTTGAAACAATTTTAGAAAAATTCTTCTTAATAAAAATCAATTGCAACTTGGCTAATGTGACACACCCCTCCAGATAAGCACGCTTCCTCTGCTATATTACTCAACACTTTACTTTTTAGGGAAGATCCGTTAGAATCTTTAAAAAGAAGATATGTCTGGAAAATGGTTACTTGCATAGTTGCTGATTATCATTAGGAAGTATATCTGGTGGCATTATATTTTGTTCTGGTAATAACATTGCCATGGCTGTGCTTTTGCAGGGAGAAAAACACTTTTTTGACTGCTCGTTGAGGTGACGGAAACTATTTTCCTTTTCTTCAGTGGACATGTGCTTCCGTACATTGGTGATCAGCAATTTATTTTGAAAAAAAAAATAGAATTTTCGCCGTACAAAGCCTTTACAGCATGAGACCGAAGACAAATATTTCTGACTTTCAGCACATGTAGATTTACAACATCGTAAATTTTACTTCGCCATGAGCCGTTGTATTTTTACTTTTTTGTGTTTCTCAAAATAAAAGATCAACGTCAATAGATTGTTGAGGGTTGAAAAATTTCAATTGCATTCCATTGTTTTTTGAACTTCGGCACTTCGTCAAAAAACTGCTTCACTATAATCTTCACTATTTCGTTTGCAATAGTTATATGGTGTAATTGTTAATTTTGAAAACGATCAAATAGATGTCTTAGTTAATGTGAGTAAATGTTTATGTAAATGTGATTCTTTATAATCTGTAAAGCTCTGATAACATACTAACGCTAAAGAATCATGAAACATATAACGAGTGCTGTCGTTAGATACCCCACGGTAACTCCACACTAAGACTATGTCTGACTGAGCGATTAGAGAGGAAATTATCATAACCATGCAAAGTACAAATTGAAACTTTGAACTGATAAAGCACATTTTTACGAAACAGTTGAGACAGTGCATTAGACAGTCTAAAATCTAAAAGTTTTTAGGGCACGTATTGAGGTTGGAGGTCTGTATGTACTTAACAAAGAAAAATAAGATTTTTGTTAAGAAGTAGGAGTAAAAAAAAATTTTTTTCATAACTTTGATCTAGACAACATGCACACTTACAAGATTTAACCTTGCTTCAGGAATGACATCAACTAAAGGAGGAAGAACTTGCAAAGCTCCTTCTCCACCACGAAATACCACCTATACGTGAGAAGTTATCTGATGTTATCTTTTAGTTTTAGCGCACATTTATCAAACGTCGCAGGGCTTATTTTTCATTATAAAAATGTGGCACAGCTAGGTTGCTTGTCACGATAAGAAGATGATTATTCTAGATTGACGGGAGCTTTATGTACACGGGCTGTTTTCCTTTTGGGATACCAAGGCATACCAATTCACATGATTTCATACAGCGATACAGAGTTCAGGTATTAATATGTGGATATACGTCGCCTTTGAGGTAGGATACTAGAATTTTAAAACAAGATTCTCTTTACGTAATACAGGAGGAAAAACGCTCTACTCTCTCATATACACAGAGGGCGAATGTTATAGATATTTCTATATACAGGCGTGATACTGAACATGTTTTGTCAAAGTAAGTATTGTTTTATTAGTCCCGCATCTATTTAAACAATGAAAGAGAGCAAGATATGATGTAGCTAAGAGCATTTTGAATACCTAAGTCATAAAAAGGAGTTGATTATGGTTAATGTGTTGGGTTGAAGTATTAGCCAATTGGACTTCTAACTTACAAGAGGACTTTAATATCGTTGATATTTTACAACACATTCCACAAACTTAGTTAATTTCATGTACTACATTAATCTTACCAAGTTATGCTTCATCAAGTCTTTGGCAAACTCAAACGATGGAGTCGCAAGTTCCTGAAGCGTTTTCAGCTCGGCCTGTAAAACAGAACGCACAAACATAAATATAAAAAGCATAAAGCCTGAGTCACTCTTCAGCAATACCTCAGCAGCTTTTCCATTGTAAAGACGAAAGTGGTTGCAGGCTTTTAGGTTAACAGCAATGGCACTGGAAAGAGTAGAAAAAAGAATTTTAGCTTTTGAAAAGTCATAGAGCGCATGCAATATTTCTAGCTAATTCCTATGAAAACAGGGTGCTATTAGCCATAATAAAAATTCATAATTCAAACACCAGTGAAGTTCTTTTGTACAATCAATCTATTACAGCACCCCCATGGATTTACATCACTTAGTAAGAAAGAGCGAGTTATACCTATATAAAGTGGAAATATTTTTAAGTTGTATTTTGACAATGGGTAAGGTCAACTGATAAGAAGAGTAACAATACTCATAAAATAAAATAATCAAAACGCGTGCTTTGATTGGTCGATGCCCTTGTTTGGATCTGGTCAGGCCATCCAAACACGGAAAGTGAAAGAACTTACGTCAATATACTTAAGATCAATATGCAACTCAGGCGCTTTCGTAACTCTCGCTTAATTCCCGCTTGTTTTGATCAGGCCATCCAAACACAGTAATGGTTTAGTAAATGTTAAATACCGCACGCAAAAGAACTGCAAAAACCACAGACAAGTAAATAGTTAAAAGAAATGAATATTTTGTTCATTCAAAAGCTTTCCCGTCGTGTTTATACATTTAGCTTTCACAAAGTATGTTTTCTTTACTTTAGCTAAATGTTCCTAATACTGCATAAAAATGGACAGGTTGCATTGCCGTCAGAATCACGAATTTCTTCAATTTTAACATTGCCTTTGTTATAGGTATAACCAATTTTCGCGTTTGATCGTACTGCCTGTCAAGATTAAAGCAAATAAAAAATGCACCATACTTCGCTGAAAAACAAATGCAAAATAATAGACTTTTTAAAGACATTTCAATAATGACAATTTGCCTCATTCTTGATAGTCATTCACAGTTGTTGATTACGACGAACAAATCATACTAAAACTAATCATTTTCCTCCTGCACGAAGCACCGAGTCGAAAGCTCAACAAAATACTTTTACAAAACTGCGTAAAAGCACTATTGATATTGCGCATTTAATAAAAACAACAGGCCTTTTTAAAAAAAACATGTTTCAACATCTCACGATGCCATCTTCGGTATTATAAGGAATATTATGTAGGTGATAAATATATATAAGAGTAATATGAAACTGTGATACAATTTATACACTTATGAATAGAATATTATATTACAATGAAATAGTGGTTAGAATTAATAATGAAAGTATTTACAGGATGAACCGTGTTAAAGCGAAAAACTTGAACATTGAGATTAGGGTTAGTTTTGTTAATGTGAAATGCTTCTTTGATTTTGAGTGCGAATGTAGTATCTGCATTGTCGATGATTTTAAAGTAAGCGTACGGAATGCCAGAGCTGTTCTATGCCATGATATTTTACGTCATGTTAATTTATCATTATATGCAGTTTATTCGTCATTATATGCAGTGACCTTTTCATTATATGCGGTCCACCATCATTATTTGCAGTGATACTTTCGTTATATGCAGTCCATCTGTCATTATATGCGGCCATTCCTCATTATATGCAGTGATATTTTTGTTATATGCAGCCCATTTGTCATTATATGTGATGCACTTTTCATTATACCTTAACTTATTGTGAGGTTATTTTGTTATGTAGTAATTTCGCTATGTGGTTATTTCGTTATGTAGTAATTTCGTAATGTGGTTATTTCGTTATGTGGTAATTTCGTTATGTGGTTATATCGTTATGTGGTAATTTCGTTATGTGGTGATTTCGTTAAGTGGTTATTTCGTTATGTGGTAATTTCGTTATGTGGTTATTTCGTTATGTGGTAATTTCGTTATGAGGTTATTTCGTTATGTGGTAATTTTGTTATGTGGTAATTTCGTTATGTGATAATTTCGTTATGTGCTTAATTCATTATGTGGTTATTTTTATTTCTTCGTTATGTGATGTCTAACATGAAGTACCTTCAATTAACTGAAACACAAGCTCAAATTGAACCACATTTGTAATTTGTAACAAACGATTTGTTCAACACGTTGAATAGTCAAATAGTCAATAGGCAATAGTATTTGCGTCGTGCATCATTTTTGCCAGATATAATGGATAAAATATTAGAAAAGGCAGGTATATTAGATTGAGTTTGTTTGAGAGATTTGATGAAGAAAGGATTGAGCCTGACGTAGTTTTAGCTATGAGCGATGCAGAGTTAATCTGACTTGGCGTAACTAAAATAGGAGAGCGTATTCGTATTCGTGCTGTTTGCAGGGATACTACAGCATCAAGTTCTACTTCTGTTTCATCGACTGCCTCAATCGCTGCAGAAAGGGAAAGATTATTTCATCCTCGGCATGCAAGGGGAACGGCAAGAAAGAGAAAAGCGTCTCAGCCCGCTATGCGGCCATGGACTGCCAACATTTTTTGTTTGGCTGATTGACTGCAAAGTAGCATTCCTTCTACGACAACAAAGCAGACTCTTCACAAGGCAGAGCTAGGACTGAAAAAGATCAAATTTCAGCTTACTGACAATAAAGAACAAGTAGCAGAAAAAATTATGTCTACCGGAAAGCTGTCTGATGGAGAGACTGTCGGATTTCCTCAACTTCGGGATGGTGTTGGTTTCGAGCTACTTCAATGCGAATCGAATTGCTCACACATGACCATGATAAATGTCAAGTGGTAGGTCAAACAACTTAAACCAAACATTGGCAGTCAATCTAAGATCTATGTAAGACCAATACAAGAAAGTCTTTCAACAAAACCTCTCAAACCAGAACCTGTGGTTAATGTTAAACAAGTGTGCCACGGATGTAACAAAGACTTTCTCATGAATGAGTTACGGTCTCACTTGTATACTTGTACCGTTGGACTTTCTAGCTCATCTGAATCCGATACAGCAGATACTAGTAGTAATACTGTTTTGGCTAGACAAAGTCAAGAACCGGACATTAGCAACACACATCATCAACCTGATGATGTACAAATGAGTTTAAGTGAACTAAATGCAAGCAATATCATCATGCAAGAGAGAATAGATTTGACTGAGGTTGACTTGAAAGATAGTGACAACGTTTAGCAGCTTGAACAAGAGCAAGCAGATGAAAATACAAATGAACCACTGGTTGCTCAAAACATAAACAGTATTGGGAGTAATGTTTTACAGTATTGTGATGAAAACCAAATTTGCAGCACAAAACAAGTTATATGCTGGTTGAAGTCCAAAGCAGTAATAGGAAGAAGTCTGGAAATTGAAAATGAGTGTTTAGAAGGGGCAACCAATTAAATCTTGGTTGATCGTTTTAACATATTGCAAACTGGAATGGATGAAACTACTGGATTAGAAGACATATTTTTTCTTTAGAAGTCCAATTTCATGAAGAGATAATCCCAAAATTTTTGCAATTCTACAGTTGCTGGGTGCAGTTAATTGATATTGTGGTGATTTATTAGTTTTACTCCATTTTTATATACTTTATATTCTAGCTGGCACAAGATCGAGGAGGTCCAAGAAAAGAATTTTTCCGTTTGATTTTGATAGAAATCAAAGAAAAACACTTTGATAAAGGCTTGCGTCACCTTTTGGCTGACGAGTACATCTGCGTGAGAATAATAATGGGTGAGAACTTAAGTTTATAAAATTGTTTGCATTACATGGTTAGATATCCAAATCATGTTAATAGAGCTGTGAAGGGTATTTCGTCTGTATTGCTACAATTGGTTAGTTTTGACCTACTCTGATTAGACAATGTTACAAAATAGTTTTTCTTTGTTTTTTTACTAAGCAACACAGAAATGTTCTTGATGCACAAAAAACACTATGTTAGTTGATAATTAATGTACCATAATTCATTCATCTAGGTCATAGTGTACTGCAAAAATGGAAAACTTCCCCAGTTTTTATCAGATGATCTGTCGAACGAAATGTTTGAGGTAGAAACTCCAGCCATTCTTATAAAAAATTTGATAAAGGGACTAAAAAGAGTTGGTATATTCCAGGTTAAAATAATTGAGTTGGAAATATCTTTTTAGTTATTTTCTTTTACTGTACTGCTTGCAGTGAATAGAAAAGTTTAATAAGTATTAATTTAACCTCCAATCATGTGATCAATTGCACCATACTCATAAGTAGGTATGTCAACAAATGCCACAAGTAAAAAAGATTTTCCAGCAGAATCTAACATCTGTCCTCACAAATCGAAAAATAAATATATTGATGGTTGCACAATTCAGTCCTGATGGCTTAAACAAAAGAAAACATGAATCAAAATTTACGCATTATATTGCAAGTACTTGAGAGAAGTTGCTGGTGGGTTTGCCTGGTTATAGGACTGTTTATATATTTTTCAGAATTTGAATTCAATGAATACTCTTAAGTACTTTCTTTTATTTAAATGCAGCTGGAAGAAGAGGTGATATGACTCTTGGGACAGTGAGTGAACACAGCAATATTAGCATAGCATGACCAAATAAAAATGCTGGCTATGGCACAGATTATTATAATATATAGCTGTGAAAAAAATATATGTCACTTATATGCTCATTATATTTAATTATAGTATATGTTTTTAATATGCTATAGCTACAACACCATCCTTGACACCAGTTGTTTCTAAACTGAGGAGGTTATCCTTATTAAATGAATCCAATTATTATTATTATCATGTTACTATTATTATTTGTTTTTCTTCTACAATGCCAATACAACTAGTTTTCATTCAAAGATCCTATCCCTGATTCTTGTAAATCTATGGTAGTATACAAATTCGATTGTGCGGGATGTAATTCCCGATACATTGGCGAAACTTCTCGTCACTTATCCATCAGAATCAGAGAACACACCACAACGAACAAAAACTCACATATCTTTCGATACTTTTTAAAATCACCTTCATGCAAAACTTACTATTTACCCCTTGCTTGAAAATCATCGACGCTGTAGATATTACATTCGTACTCAAAATCAAAGAAGCATTTCCCATTAACAAAACAAACCCTATTCTCAAGGTTCAAGTTTTTCGCTTTAACACTATAATCAGCCTGTAAATACTTTATCAT